CACTCATCTGCCCTTGACCAGAAATGGGATAACACCTTTAAAATCTACAATTAATGAAATCTTAAGATTTCTTCTAGGCTGATGACAGTAAATAACATTTCAAACCTGTGAGCAAAGCCTGAACACTTTAAGTCAAGGTTTCTAATTTTAAGAGATTTTTTTACTATATTACTATTCATATAACCTTGACCAGAAGTGGGATAATGCCTTTAAAATCTACAATTAATGGAATCTAAAGATTTCTTGTCGGTTGATGATAGTAAATAATATTTCACACTTGTGGACTGAATCTTAATGTAATAGGACAATATTTATAATTTTAAGAGATTTTTGACTATATTAATACTCATCTGCCCTTGACCAGAAATGGGATAACACCTTTAAAATCTACACTTAATGGAATCTTAAGATTTCTTCTTGGCTGATGATAGTAAATCACATTTCTAACTTGTGAGCAGAACCTGAATGCTATTGACCAATATTTTTAATTTTAACAGATGTTTTGCTATTTTATTACTCATATCCCCTAGACCAGAAATGAGATAACACCTATAAAATCTTCAGTTAACGGAATCTGAAGATTTCTTCATGACTACTGATAGTAAATAACATTTGAAACTTGTGAGCAGAATCTGAATGCAATGGGTCAATATTTCTAATTCTAAGAGATTTTCTACAATATCATTACTCATATAACCTTGACCAGAAATGGGATAACGCCTTTAAAATCTACAATTAATGGAATCTAAAGATTTCTTGTCGGTTGATGATAGTAAATAATATTTCACACTTGTGGACTGAATCTTAATGTAATAGGACAATATTTCTAATTTTAAGAGATTTTTGACTATATTAATACTCATCTGCCCTTGACCAGAAATGGGATAACACCTTTAAAATCTACAATTAATGAAATCTTAAGATTTCTTCTAGGCTGATGACAGTAAATAACATTTCAAACCTGTGAGCAAAGCCTGAACACTTTAAGTCAAGATTTCTAATTTTAAGAGATTTTTTTACTATATTATTATTCATATAACCTTGACCAGAAATGGGATAACACCTTTAAAATCTACAATTAATGGAATATTAAGATTTCTTCTTGGCTGATGACAGTAAATAACATTTCAAACCTGTGAGCAAAGCCTGAACACTTTGAGTCAAGATTTCTAATTTTAAGAGATTTTTTTACTATATTATTATTCATATAACCTTGACCAGAAATGGGATAACACCTTTAAAATCTACAGTTAACGGAATCTGAAGATTTCTTCATGACTACTGATAGTAAATAACATTTGAAACTTGTGAGCAGAATCTGAATGCAATGGGTCAATATTTCTAATTCTAAGAGATTTTCTACCATATTATTATTCATATAACCTTGACCAGAAATGGGATAACGCCTTTAAAATCTACAATTTATGGAATCTTAAGATTTTCTCTTGGCTGCTGATAGCAAAGCACATTTCTAGTTTGTGAGCAGAATCTGAATGCAATGGGTCAATATTTCGAATGTTTAAGTGAGTTGGGTTTAACACCACTTTTAACATTATTCCAGTTATATCACGGTGTGTCAGCTTAATGTGGGAGGAAAGCCCAAAGTGATGGTGCTGACAAACCTAGAAGCATTATTGGGGTGAACCGGGATTCGAACCAACCATCATAGGTTGCTGGCGGATCCAAGGGACGCAACTCTGCACAGACACGGCCACCTGTGCCCCCTCTAATTTTAAGAGATTTTTAACTATATCATCACTCATCTGCCCTTGACCAGAAATGGGATAACACCTTTAAAATCTACAATTAATGAAATCTTAAGATTTCTTCTAGGCTGATGACAGTAAATAACATTTCAAACCTGTGAGCAAAGCCTGAACACTTTGAGTCAAGATTTCTAATTTTAAGAGATTTTTTTACTATATTATTATTCATATAACCTTGACCAGAAATGGGATAACACCTTTAAAATCTACAATTAATGAAATCTTAAGAATTTCTTCTAGGCTGATGACAGTAAATAACATTTCAAACCTGTGAGCAAAGCCTGAACACTTTGAGTCAAGATTTCTAATTTTAAGAGATTTTTTTACTATATTATTATTCATATAACCTTGACCAGAAATGGGATAACACCTTTAAAATCTACAATTAATGGAATATTAAGATTTCTTCTTGGCTGATGACAGTAAATAACATTTCAAACCTGTGAGCAAAGCCTGAACACTTTGAGTCAAGATTTCTAATTTTAAGAGATTTTTTTACTATATTATTATTCATATAACCTTGACCAGAAATGGGATAACACCTTTAAAATATACAATTAATGGAATATTAAGATTTCTTCTTGGCTGATGACAGTAAATAACATTTCAAACCTGTGAGCAAAGCCTGAACACTTTGAGTCAAGATTTCTAATTTTAAGAGATTTTTTTACTATATTATTATTCATATAACCTTGACCAGAAATGGGATAACACCTTTAAAATCTACAATTAATGGAATATTAAGATTTCTTCTAGGCTGATGACAGTAAATAACATTTCAAACCTGTGAGCAAAGCCTGAACACTTTGAGTCAAGATTTCTAATTTTAAGAGATTTTTTTACTATATTATTATTCATATAACCTTGACCAGAAATGGGATAACACCTTTAAAATCTACAATTAATGGAATATTAAGATTTCTTCTTGGCTGATGACAGTAAATAACATTTCAAACCTGTGAGCAAAGCCTGAACACTTTGAGTCAAGATTTCTAATTTTAAGAGATTTTTTTACTATATTATTATTCATATTACCTTGACCAGAAATGGGATAACACCTTTAAAATCTACAATTAATGGAATATTAAGATTTCTTCTTGGCTGATGATAGTAAATAACCTTTCAAACCTGTGAGGAGAATCTGAATGCTATGGGTCAATATTGCTAATGTTAAGAGATTGTTGACTATATTATTACTCACATCCCCTCAACCAGAAGTGGCATAAATGTTATGCTTTCAAGAATGAAAGGAATCTTGAGAGTTTTGTTTTCTGAACATTGTCAATCACATTTACAACCTTTGAGAAACATGTACTTTGACAATAAGCTTTGAATATGAAACTACATAGTTTTAAAAAAAGCTTCGTCCCCTTCACAGCTGTAATAGGCTAACTGATCATCATGGAGGGACTGACTGCACAATGTATGACATTGTGCTAGGTCTGTATCTGCCTTGATAGAAACCACAGAAAAAAGGTAAAAAGTAAAGGTATAATGACTTACCTACACATTCTCGTCTTTCAAAGAAATATTATCTTAGAAACTTCAGCCACTTGGCCTTCAACAGCAAGGACCAGACGACCATTTTGATCAAGTTGTAAAGGGAGGATAACTCTTACTGTTGCTTTGTCTTGCAAATTTTAATGTCAATGATGACAGAGCATGAGATAACAAGTTCAGTTCTCTATTAGTAATGGGTTTATTAAATATATGTTATCTGTCTTAAGTTGGTAATTTTGAAACCTTTCTAAATATTTCAATCATATTAAATAATATCATTTAGATTCCATATGGTCTCCCCAGAAATATGAGGGCATTTTGCTGGCAAAACGGTTTTGAAAGCTTCAACGTATATATGTCAATAAGCTACCAGGAATGGTTCAATGAGTTTCCCAGTTATTTTAATACTGACCAGGAAGGAGATTTTATCATACCGGTTATTACATATGTATTTTTTCCTTTAAAACAATGAGAAAAAGAATAGTGTTGTGGGTGAATCAAAGGAACATTAAAGAAATCTTTTTTTAACAAGAGAAATCTTTTTCAACAATTTCTACTCTAATATTTCTATATGTAATTAGTTTCTTTTATTTTTTAAGTTAGACTTCTAAGATGAAGCACAAACTTTCTCACATCCTGCATCTGCTATGCCTGGAAGCAGTTACATCTACCTCCACCATTAATATAAGAAAATAGTTGCTTTTATCATCATGTACACAATAATCAAATGGAGTGATTTTGAATAATTGTTACCACTAAAATCTAACATGATAATGATAGTAATATTTACAAAAAATGACTTTGGGACTTGAGAATACAAACAAAAATACACACATCAGTTGCCAGAGGGCTGTGAGGTGATGGGGCTTAGAAATCCCTTGAACAGTACAAATTTAACTGTACCCCTTTCAACTCTGACATGTTGAGTATTCATTGTTTGATGTTAAATGACACACTTAGTTATATTCAAAATAATTAATATTATTATATTGATGTACATACCCTCCCACATATATTTTGTGAACATCATGGCCTATTGTACAATGTCATGAGTATTTATTCCTAGACATTTACCTGCTGTTTTACTGTGTATGAGAAGAAATATATCGAACTCTCATAACTCTTGCAAAATTGCATAACACAAACATCCTAGGAACTTGAATTATTACGCTTGTATCCCCACCAATGAGTGGCATAACAACTTTAAAATACATAAATTAGAGAATAATTTTATTTTCATTTGGCTTTTGCATTTTTGTAGGAAACACTGTGTTCAGAAGTGGCCAAGATAGCTATTTAACAGAAAATTTACTCTGTTATTAAACATGTCACCACCTCACAAAGGTTATGATATGATAGACAATTAAATAATACATTTGGGAGTGATATCATGGTTAGAAATTAAACATGGCAATGGGCAGTAATTACAGATAATAAGCAACACGACCATATTTACAGGAATTGCATTTTGTCATGAGCGATATTGTATTCCGCTTTAGTTCCGCATTACCACTTTTATACGCTGCTATATTTAGCTGCAAATGTCGGACATCGAGTCAGTAGCATTGCCATTGGCGCACTTTGCAGAACCGAGTAAAAATACAAAACACAAGAAGTACAGATGATTTTGCTCTTATTAAATGTTTGTCAATTAAACACATAGTTGCATGCCACAGATATAATTCTCTACGGTGTTTATCCCAGTTCTGGTCGTATCCCAGTTCTGGTCGCTACAGACGTTCACTCCCTGTTCTATGTCCGCCTGTCCGAACCCCCGTGTCCACGTCTCACCCCCCTTCACAACAGCCAGGGTCAGCCCGGGGACCTGTCTACACCGCATGACCTCTTCTACAAACATTCCCACCTTATTCGCCTGGTCATCGGAGAAAACCTCCGCCGACTCTATTGAGACAGAGAACATGAGCAGTAATACTACTATACACCACATCATGTATTTTGCAGAGTTATCAAGGTACTGAACGGCTTACGAGATTCTAGGCGTTGGCCTCAACGTAAAGTACGCCCGCCGAGAAAATATATTAGAGGCGATATTGGTTGAGATTATAGATAAGCTGAGTTGCTTCGTTGTATGACAGGCAGATCTAAGCGCATCCACAAACACTGAACGCGAGATTCAGGGGCGAGGCACTCTCACCCACAGTCTCGGTGTGTTTTACTTCAGATAACAAGGAGATACATACCAGCAGTACTTTGGTGATGGAAGGAAGGCGTGGGATGTTAAAGGGGTCAATCAATGACACAGTCGTGTTAACCTTAATGGGTTTGTTGACGTGTGTCGGTTCATGGTAATTGTATGTTGTAACGAAGATAACTCATCTTGTACCCTGGTCCGGATATATTTGCCCGCCGTTCTACACATAATAGACATGTGTGATTCTTAGGTAACCAGGAGTATCTGATAAGAAAACTATATAAATTGTTATATGTTGAATGACATCTCTCGAAGAGAGCAATATTCATGATGTCCATCACACGTGATAGATGTTTAATGCGTATGATTCATGGACAAGTCAATATTTTAGGGTATGGTTGAAAGTATGATTCCACAAAACTATTGATCAATATATTATTGACACTATACTCATCTCACTCTAATACATCTCTGTGTCATACTTGACGCGATCATTGTACCTAAAATAACTGAAGTTTCTCTTTGTAAGTAGTACACGAGTTAGAATGTGAGTGAGGGGTTAACGCGGATGTTTGAACACTATTTCGGGTACATCACGAAGTGTAAACATAATGTTGGATAAAAGCTCCAAATGAACAGGCCCTTTATTGAAGGTCGCTTGTTGAAACCCACTAGCAAAGGTATGGTCCTGACAATCTAGGGCAAATCTGAAATTCGACCCCGGATTATGTCACAACTAAATTACACAACAGGTGCCTGAGATGACTGACAGCCGCGTCACTAAAACATGAAACTAGAGCATTATTCAGCATTTTCTTATATCTTCATGACATGGAAAATATGCAGTTGCCTGCCTTGCCGCTCACCTTCTCGTCTATGTGTACATGTGTTATTCCGAAACATTGTATGAGTGAATGTTGATCTCCGCCGCAAAAATGTTACCGTTGTATAAGCGGTCTGTAAATAATCGTTTTGAACAGACTAGCCAGTGTTTGAGAGCATGAGCTACAATCGGGATACGATCAGTGATACACAGTCGACCAGCTGGTCACACATTATAACCATCCGATCCACATTTGAGATCCAGATGGTTCTAAAGGCCTAGCCGTTTCCCGAATGTCCACAGGTGTTTTTCTTCCCAACAACACATTCAGGATATGGATATTTCCGGTGAAGAATAGATACCAGGTATCCCATGGTTCTGGTACGAACTGAGCAAGGGGCATCGGGTCAGACTCTGATACATCTGTGGTGCATGTTATCGTACCTGACAGTGTCGATCGCTGCTCAAACGTTCAGTCACTGGTTTGTCTGCTTTACCAATACCCATTATGGTGCCGTGGGCATTTGGAAATGTCTCCAGTAAGAAGGATAGGGTGGTCAGGCTTGGTTCATTTTGTATATCGAACAAAACTGGCGTGTGATGCTACTCACGGTATAGCCTCTTAAGACAAACATGCGTTGCTGAAAAGCAATCCTAACCCGGATCTTCATGGGGGTTGATGTAAACGACACTAATGAGTGAGTTGGTTTAACGTCGGTTTAAACAGTACTTCTGTCATTTGATGACGTGTCAGTTTCATGTGTGGGGGAAAGCCCGAAGTAATGGAGGCTGAAGACGTTAATTTATCCAACATTTTTCGCGAAAAGATAAGCGCACCCTGTCCCACCGATGACATAGGTCACATGTGTAGTATAGATGTAGGCCAAAATATGGAATTGCATCATTTGGTCTCTGATGCGGATGATTTGGAGAAGGCAGCGACGTCTCTAAGGCAACACTTCTCAAAATGCTTCACCAAGGCCGCGTATGTTGTAACCCTGATCCAACAACTTCTGAGAAACATTCATATGACGCTCTTTGAAGACTTCGAGAAAAAACATTCTCGATGTGTAACTCAAAGTAGTAAAATGTAGACGCCAAAGGCTGGTACTGCTGGAATATTGCTCGACATGAGGGGAAATCAGACTATTGAAAAGTAGAAATCAGCACTCCTGTCATAAAGTATTGTGTTCTCAGCTAAAGAAGCTATTATTTTATTTTATTTGCTTTCGAAAATAAATAAGTTTCACTGTTTACATATTTTCAATTACACCAAATACACGAACTTAGACTTAATTGATGTTCTTCATATTAATAAGCAATGTAACATATTTCGTTTAAGCTATTTAATTACACAGTTTATATTACCCAAATCCTTATTCGGATTAATTCCACAAACTTACTTTTAGTTAGAAATGAGAGCCATGATGTAACGTGTGCATGGAACAAAAAAATACTGAAATGTCATCTGCTTCAAGTGTTGGTATTTATAGGCCATCCACACGTGACACAATGCAATGAGAACAGGAGTTGCCTCCCTTTGACCACTACCCGTATTTTACATATCCACCCTGAGAGAGAATGTATGCTGTGCTGCTTTTCCCCAGAAGGATGGAGGCTAACACATTACCGATTTCACTCCTAGCGTGAGACAACTGACTGCAGTGTATTATTCATGTTTTAGTGTAATTTTAAAGTACTCTTTGCTATTCCTCAGAACTGATTAGTTAACAAAGTAAATAAAATCAGTTCAAATAAGACACTTGAAGATCCGGGGTAGAATAGGTCTTCAGCAACCCGTGCTTGTCGTCAAAGGCGACTATGCTTGTCATAAGAGGCGACTAACGGGATCGGGTGGTCAGACTCGTTGACTTGGTTGATGCATGTCATCGTAGCCAAATTGCGTGGATCGAAGATCATGATGTCAATCACTGGACTCGATTAAATACAGGCCGTCGTCATATAGCTGGAATATTGCTGAGTGCGACATAAACAACACACAATCATTCAATCAATCAGTTCAAATAAAACTAACACTGACTTTAATTTGTTTTATTGTTATAAGCAGATGAAGACAACAGCATCAGGCAAAAGTGGTCTACCCAGAAATGTCTTCTTAAACAGCTGTCAACACACAGTGATGGTCGTGGGGAACAGTATATGCAATAACATAATACAAAATGCGAAAAGATGAGAGAATTAGTATAAAAAGATGCGTACATCACTTTACAGTAACCATAAAGAGTCAGTGACTCTTTTTATAATGGGGATGATGACCGGAATCACTAACCTTAAGACGAACAGTTTGAATGAAATAAAGATATTCCTTCAGCATAATTTGAGCGGAGCCACATGGTATGAAATTATATTTCTTTTCAAATCAAATCTTTAGTGACTGTGCAGGTAATGCATGTAATCATAAATTTATACAAGGGAATATATTGCCTCCGTTTGTATTAACATTCAAATTAAATCTTGCTTTTATTTAACCCCATGTTTATACCCCAGCAGAACATATCAACATGGCAGAACACTTGTAAACCTTTTTTTATGTCCAAGGTATGTATCAAACAAATTTTGTGTGAATGTCATTGTTTATTATGTTTATTAAGTTGTTTTAGCTTCGAAAATGCAATATTTCCGAAATAAGAGAATATTTGTTTACACTCAAAATTCATATTATACACACATTTTTTTCATACTTTATCACATTTTCATATGATATTGTATTATGCATAGTTTAATCTATCACTGTATACATAATGTTTACTGTTGTTTGTTGTGCGACATAGATGTAATGTTTTTCCTTACAGTGAAAATGAACGAGAAGTTCTTATTTACCTGAGTAATATGAAAATTGTTGGTGTTAGGGAATGACCATTTCATATAACGGGAGAGGGGGGATTTATCGAAACACATAAATTGTCCTCGAAAATGCTTGTAGAAAATAATTGTGAATCTGACTCTAGATAGATAAATAAATTGTCAGCCACAAAAAATACATTGCCGCAATCTTTAGTGTCATAAACAGCATACACCAGCCCAAAGTAAGACTCCGTCATCTGATTAGAATGTAAGTATCAACATAGTCAATGTAATTACTAGTGCACCTTTTTTATGTTTATTAGGTTACATATAATTGTCTCAGTAAACAGTATTGTAATAAAATATTCTTCCTTAGATTACTTCATGATTCAGTCAAACTTTTCTTTTCTTTTGTTGAATGTTGGAGGAGCCTATCCCGTCCGAACCATTTACTCATTGTCATTAAAAACTTATATTTTATATTTTTTTATTTAGAACAATGAACCTGATTATTTTCCTCAGAAAAACAGCTTGCAAGAATGTAAAAAAAATGTGACAGGCAATATTATCCTTTTTCAACAATCTGAAGCATCATAACTATTTTTACAGGGGGGAGGCTTTGTATTGAAGCACAGCTACTCATGATCAACTTCCAAGAATGTCATTTTAGTGAAGGCGAATTATTTTTCAAGAGTCTATAGCATAAAATTTTTTTCAACAAGTTTCGGGGCCAGTTAATTTTTATTTCGACAAAATCATTGAGCCTTGGAATCACTATTAATATAGAGATGATACTAGGTGCGAAAAGATGACAGTGTCCTTATCTCAAACACAAACCGCATCAAACGGGATCGGGTTGTCAGGCTCGCTGACTTGGTTGAGGCATGTCAGCGTATCCCAATTGCGTGGATCGATGTTCATGATATCAATCACTGGATTGTCTGGTCCAAACTCGACCATTTACAGACCATAGTTAGTTAGCTGGAGTATTGCTGAGTGCGGCGTAAAACATCAAACCAACCAACCAACCAATTGATAAAGGTTTGCTTGGACAACTAAAACTGACAAACGTTTGGTAGAACATTTTAAAATAGGGTCACAAAGCGTTGTTGAGTCTACCGTAAGACACAAATGAAATTCTCACTGTATGCTAAGTTTCGGAGTTGTGAGACAAAGCAACACTTTCAAATGCAGGCCCCCATATATTTGATTTAAAGAAATAAGGCTTTACTTTATATATCACGTCAATTACGCTTGTATAGGTTGTGTAGATGGTGTTTTCAGTCTATCTTCTGTGGTAATTTTGTGTCAGCGGTCTTTGGTTGTATTACAATCGTTATCGCATTCCTATGACCCGAACCCATGTTTCCTGATATCATCAGGTCATCATCTTCGAGCGATATGGTGACGGTTTTCTCAAAGTACTTCTCCTTTAGGTAACATTTCAAGTTTCCTTGTTGCCCACTGTACATTTTCTCAAACATATCCTTTTCATGAACTGTGTCACCTGGCTTTGTTATCCCAATCGCCAGATGATTTTTGTTGAAGATATGGTTGAAAGGAGAGCTCCACATGACCACCACACGACGACTTTCTCTAGAAGAGGGTGTAACCTTCCAGGATACAGTCCCGTACGTTCCACAGAAAGTAAAACCTTTATTGCGAGCCACCTAAAATGAAAACTTTGAATCATTTAGAAAAGTTGAAAGATAAATATCCAAAAGAAAAAAACATAATGCAAAATGACCAAATTGGACTTCATACCATAGCTTCTTTATGTCCTGGTTGAATTATCATTGGAGGAATGATTATCAGCCCATCATCTGGATAAGCTATTGGATCGTCCAGAGTCCACTGTGTCCAATTTTCAGTTAAAATCACGCTTGCCACTTTATGCTCGAGGCTGGATAGAATGGCAGATATTGACGTTCCCGCCAATGAAGCACCAGCGATAAGTGGGGTTGCCATGATCACTGTGAGCCTGGGATCTTAAAGGGATCTGCAAAAACAACGTTGAAGTTATTATAATGGAAAGACCCATATTGTAATGGAGTTACATTACTACCTTACTGCTTCTACTGCTATTTTTCTAACCTAGGAGGCGGAGCTATGAGAGGTCTGGCTACAGAAGTTGTTGCACCCACTAGTTGAGTGGCTTCCGTCTTTCCACAGCTATCACGTAACCGGAAGTGGCGAAATCGCGCACAATCACATCACTGCTAGTCATTGGCCTATACAGGCGTCTAAAAATTAAGCTCCCAAGTTTGAAGAACAAGACAGCATCCTCTGCCTATCCTTATGCATTTCCTTTGATGACCAGTTTATTCTCAATTATGGAGTTTATAGTCTGATGTACCAGGGTTGTCTTTTCAGGCCTACGTTAGCATAATTATTGCCTGACTTTGGCTCTTCCCTACGCTTACTTCGCACGTGTGTTGTACCTGTCGCCATGATGTTTTGCCACATTGTGCTAAATTCCTTTCTTTCTGGGCTTTTAAGGTGTATGACTATACTCTTTATCTTGTAATTTTTCTCGTGAACTTACTAAAAGTTTGAGTTTTCTTTGTTGACATGTTTGTCTGTTCTACTCAAAACCCTTTGAATTTATATGTCACATTGCTCACAATGCCAGGGCAATAAATCAGCCAAGGGCCCTCACCCCAGTTTGCGTGTATTTTATGCTCCCCTGTTCCTCGTCATCTATCCCCCAGTGACCATCAGGATTTTCAGGAAACAACACACCCAACGTGGTCACAGTCATCCAAAGATGTCTGACCACAGGCACACTTCCCTCACTTGGAGATAACCAATCACATCGACGAAGAGGTGTTTTTATCCACAACTATGCTACAATCATCACTAATAGAGCACAACCGCTTGTCTGCACCTACGATCACCTTTTTGTATTAATTGGCCTTCTTACATCAGATCAAGATCTGACAGTCAGAGGCTGACTACACCTTCGTCCAAAACAACGGTTTCAATCACAGTGTATTCGTCGGCAGAACCCGCGGACCTAGGTGACCCAGCTCACCTCCACTGGTATCTTCATTGGTGGACAGTGAGATCGAATGTCTGTGACGCCGTCCTTAACCTGATCTTTGATACATCTGGAGGACCAGACTGCCTCCGGACTGTGGTCAAATGATTAACTCCGATGAAACAAATACAATCTAAAATTAGAAGCACTCATCCTTGCCGTGTCTCATTGACAGTCACAGCCCTAGAGCCAAGTGCTAGCCATATGCACAGACAACATCACAGTCGTCTGGTGTCAACCAGCCGAGGCCTCACTCATCATCCCTACTGTTCTCAGACCTTCCGGTTCTTTCAATAAGTGGAGCAAGTACACATGAGATTCATCCTTGGTTGTCGCAACATCCTGGTAGATGAACTCTCCAGGCCAGACAAAGAGGCCCCAATGGAGTGGGTGCTCCACCCCGACACCTTCAGTGATTCAGCCTGCCAAATATCGACCTATTTGCCACCAGCCAGAATTAACAGCTCTGGACCTACATCTCACCGGTCCCGGAACCTGTTGCTTGGGTAGTCGACACATTCGCTTAAAGCGTACACTTTTCCCGCCATCTGTACAACTTAGGAGGGTTCTGCAAAAGATCAAAAACACACCGATTCTTTAACTGCTTTTGATCGAGCCTTGGTGGACGGTTCAGAATTGGTAAATGGATCTTTGTGACCTCACCAGTCGCGACCCTCTCGAACTCTCAGGGTTGGCACACCTTCTGGTACATCCCCCCAGTCAGTTGCCACACCCACCTCCAGACAAGTTTCGTCTGCATGCTTGGCACATCTCCACGTGGCCCAAAGTGCTTAAGGTCATTTGGCTAGAGCAGGGAAGGCTGTTGCCTCAGCACACTGACCATTGACACGCTCTCTGTATGATGACAAATGGTGTTTCTTTGAATCCTTTTGTAAGGATAAGAAACAGGATCCTATTTTGGCATCATCACAATTTATGGCTGAATTCCTTCTCGACCCCTACAACAAGCGCCACATCAAGGGTAGTACCATAACTACATATCTGGCAGCCATCAAATCGGGGTTGGCAGTTCCTAAGGATCACAAAATCACTAAGATCACGGAACTTTAATCTTTTCGACAGTCCTTTTGTCTGGAGGATCTCGAATGTCCACAGGTGTTTTTCTTCCCAACAACACATTCAGGATATGGATATTAGATGTGAAGAATAGAAACCAGATATCCCATGATTGTAGTACGAACTGAGCAAGGGGCAGCGGGTCAGACTCTGATACATCTGTGGTGCATGTTAGCGTACCTGACAGTGTCGATCGCTGCTCAAACGTTCATTCACTGGTCCGTCTGCTTTACACTACAATTACCGACCTACTGACATTACCAATACCACACTATGGTGCCGTGGGCATTTGGAAATGTCTCCAGTAAGAAGGATAGGGTGGTCAGGCTTGGTTCATTTTGTCTATCGAACAAAACTGGCGTGTGATGCTCCTCATGGTATAGCCTCTTAAGACAAACATGCGTTGCTGAAAAGCAATCCTAACCCGGATCTTCATGGGGGTTGATGTAAACGACACTAATGAGTGAGTTGGTTTAACGTCGGTTTAAACAGTACTTCTGTCATTTGATGACGTGTCAGTTTCATGTGTGGGGGAAAGCCCGAAGTAATGGAGGCTGAAGACGTTAATTTATCCAACATTTTTCGCGAAAAGATAAGCGCACCCTGTCCCACCGATGACATAGGTCACATGTGTAGTATAGATGTAAGCACAGAATATGGAATTGCATCATTTGGTCTCTTGGAGAAGGCGGCGACGTCTCTAAGGCAACACTTCTCAAAATGCTTCACCAAGGCCGCGTATGTTGTAACCCTGATCCAACAACTTCTGAGCAACATTCGTATGACGCTCTTTGAAGACTTCGAGAAAAAACATTCTCGATGTGTAACTCAAAGTAGTAAAATGTAGACGCCAAAGGCTGGTACTGCTGGAATATTGCTCGACATGAGGGGAAATCAGACTATTGAAAAGTAGAAATCAGCACTCCTGTCATAAAGTATTGTGTTCTCAGCTAAAGAAGCTATTATTTTATTTTATTTGCTTTCGAAAATAAATAAGTTTCACTGTTTACATATTTTCAATTACACCAAATACACGAACTTAGACTTAATTGATGTTCTTCATATTAATAAGCAATGTAACATATTTCGTTTAAGCTATTTAATTACACAGTTTATATTACCCAAATCCTTATTCGGATTATTTCCACAAACTTACTTTTAGTTAGAAATGAGAGCCATGATGTAACGTGTGCATGGAACAAAAAAATACTGAAATGTCATCTGCTTCAAGTGTTGGTATTTATAGGCCATCCACACGTGACACAATGCAATGAGAACAGGAGTTGCCTCCCTTTGACCACTACCCGTATTTTACATATCCACCCTGAGAGAGAATGTATGCTGTGCTGCTTTTCCCCAGAAGGATGGAGGCTAACACATTACCGATTTCACTCCTAGCGTGAGACAACTGACTGCAGTGTATTATTCATGTTTTAGTGTAATTTTAAAGTACTCTTTGCTATTCCTCAGAACTGATTAGTTAACAAAGTAAATAAAATCAGTTCAAATAAGACACTTGAAGATCCGGGGTAGAATAGGTCTTCAGCAACCCGTGCTTGTCGTCAAAGGCGACTATGCTTGTCATAAGAGGCGACTAACGGGATCGGGTGGTCAGACTCGTTGACTTGGTTGATGCATGTCATCGTAGCCAAATTGCGTGGATCGAAGATCATGATGTCAATCACTGGACTCGATTAAATACAGGCCGTCGTCATATAGCTGGAATATTGCTGAGTGCGACATAAACAACACACAATCATTCAATCAATCAGTTCAAATAAAACTAACACTGACTTTAATTTGTTTTATTGTTATAAGCAGATGAAGACAACAGCATCAGGCAAAAGTGGTCTACCCAGAAATGTCTTCTTAAACAGCTGTCAACACACAGTGATGGTCGTGGGGAACAGTATATGCAATAACATAATACAAAATGCGAAAAGATGAGAGAATTAGTATAAAAAGATGCGTACATCACTTTACAGTAACCATAAAGAGTCAGTGACTCTTTTTATAATGGGGATGATGACCGGAATCACTAACCTTAAGACGAACAGTTTGAATGAAATAAAGATATTCCTTCAGCATAATTTGAGCGGAGCCACATGGTATGAAATTATATTTCTTTTCAAATCAAATCTTTAGTGACTGTGCAGGTAATGCAGGTAATCATAAATTTATACAAGGGAATATATTGCCTCCGTTTGTATTAACATTCAAATTAAATCTTGCTTTTATTTAACCCCATGTTTATACCCCAGCAGAACATATCAACATGGCAGAACACTTGTAAACCTTTTTTTATGTCCAAGGTATGTATCAAACAAATTTTGTGTGAATGTCATTGTTTATTATGTTTATTAAGTTGTTTTAGCTTCGAAAATGCAATATTTCCGAAATAAGAGAATATTTGTTTACACTCAAAATTCATATTATACACACATTTTTTTCATACTTTATCACATTTTCATATGATATTGTATTATGCATAGTTTAATCTATCACTGTATACATAATGTTTACTGTTGTTTGTTGTGCGACATAGATGTAATGTTTTTCCTTACAGTGAAAATGAACGAGAAGTTCTTATTTACCTGAGTAATATGAAAATTGTTGGTGTTAGGGAATGACCATTTCATATAACGGGAGAGGGGGGATTTATCGAAACACATAAATTGTCCTCGAAAATGCTTGTAGAAAATAATTGTGAATCTGACTCTAGATAGATAAATAAATTGTCAGCCACAAAAAATACATTGCCGCAAACTTTAGTGTCATAAACAGCATACACCAGCCCAAAGTAAGACTCCGTCATCTGATTAGAATGTAAGTATCAACATAGTCAATGTAATTACTAGTGCACCTTTTTAATGTTTATTAGGTTACATATAATTGTCTCAGTAAACAGTATTGTAATAAAATATTCTTCCTTAGATTACTTCATGATTCAGTCAAACTTTTCTTTTCTTTTGTTGAATGTTGGAGGAGCCTATCCCGTCCGAACCATTTACTCATTGTCATTAAAAACTTATATTTTATATTTTTTTATTTAGAACAATGAACCTGATTATTTTCCTCAGAAAAACAGCTTGCAAGAATGTAAAAAAAATGTGACAGGCAATATTATCCTTTTTCAACAATCTGAAGCATCATAACTATTTTTACAGGGGGGAGGCTTTGTATTGAAGCACAGCTACTCATGATCAACTTCCAAGAATGTCATTTTAGTGAAGGCGAATTATTTTTCAAGAGTCTATAGCATAAAATTTTTTTCAACAAGTTTCGGGGCCAGTTAATTTTTATTTCGACAAAATCATTGAGCCTTGGAATCACTATTAAAATAGAGATGATACTAGGTGCGAAAAGATGACAGTGTCCTTATCTCAAACACAAACCGCATCAAACGGGATCGGGTTGTCAGGCTCGCTGACTTGGTTGAGGCATGTCAGCGTATCCCAATTGCGTGGATCGATGTTCATGATATCAATCACTGGATTGTCTGGTCCAAACTCGATCATTTACAGACCATAGTTAGTTAGCTGGAGTATTGCTGAGTGCGGCGTAAAACATCAAACCAACCAACCAACCAATTGATAAAGGTTTGCTTGGACAACTAAAACTGACAAACGTTTGGTAGAACATTTTAAAATAGGGTCACAAAGCGTTGTTGAGTCTACCGTAAGACACAAATGAAATTCTCACTGTATGCTAAGTTTCGGAGTTGTGAGACAAAGCAACACTTTCAAATGCAGGCCCCCATATATTTGATTTAAAGAAATAAGGCTTTACTTTATATATCACGTCAATTACGCTTGTATAGGTTGTGTAGATGGTGTTTTCAGTCTATCTTCTGTGGTAATTTTGTGTCAGCGGTCTTTGGTTGTATTACAATCGTTATCGCATTCCTATGACCCGAACCCATGTTTCCTGATATCATCAGGTCATCATCTTCGAGCGATATGGTGACGGTTTTCTCAAAGTACTTCTCCTTTAGGTAACATTTCAAGTTTCCTTGTTGCCCACTGTACATTTTCTCAAACATATCCTTTTCATGAACTGTGTCACCTGGCTTTGTTATCCCAATCGCCAGATGATTTTTGTTGAAGATATGGTTGAAAGGAGAGCTCCACATGACCACCACACGACGACTTTCTCTAGAAGAGGGTGTAACCTTCCAGGATACAGTCCCATACGTTCCACAGAAAGTAAAACCTTTATTGCGAGCCACCTAAAATGAAAACTTTGAATCATTTAGAAAAGTTGAAAGATAAATATCCAAAAGAAAAAACATAATGCAAAATGACCAAATTGGACTTCATACCATAGCTTCTTTATGTCCTGGTTGAATTATCATTGGAGGAATGATTATCAGCCCATCATCTGGATAAGCTATTGGATCTTCCAGAGTCCACTGTGTCCAATTTTCAGTTAAAATCACGCTTGCCACTTTATGCTCGAGGCTGGATAGAATGGCAGATATTGATGTTCCCGCCAATGAAGCACCAGCGATAAGTGGGGTTGCCATGATCACTGTGAGCCTGGGATCTTAAAGGGATCTGCAAATACAACGTTGAAGTTATTATAATGGAAAAACCCATATTGTAATGGAGTTGAATAATTTTTTAAATCTCATCCTGCATTACTACCTTAATGCTTCTACTGCTATTTTTCTAACCTAGGAGGCGGAGCTATGAGAGGTCTGGCTACAGAAGTTGTTGTACCCAGTAGTTGAGTGGCTTCCTTCCTTCCACAGCTACCACGTAACCGGAAGTGGCGAAGTCACGCACAATCACATCACTGCTAGTCATTGGCCTATACAGGCGTCAAAAAATTAAGCTCCCAAGTTTGAAGAACAAGACAGCATCCTCTGCCTATCCTTATGCATTTCCTTTGATGACCAGTTTATTCTCAATTATGGAGTTTATAGTCTGATGTACCAGGGTTGTCTTTTCAGGCCTACGTTAGCATAATTATTGCCTGACTTTGGCTCTTCCCCACGCTTACTTCGCACGTGTGTTGTCCCTGTCGCCATGATGTTTTGCCACATTATGCTAAACTCCTTTGTTTCTGGGCGTTTAAGGTGTATGATTATACTCTTTATCTTGTAATTTTTCTCATGAACTTACTAAAAGTTTGAGTTTTCTTTGTTGACACGTTTGTCTGTTCTACTCAAAACCCTTTGAATTTATATGTCACATTGCTCACAATGCCGGGGCAATAAATCAGACAAGGGTCCTCACCCCAGTTTGCGTGTATTGTATGCTCCCCTGTTCCTCGTCATCTATTCCCCAGTGACCATCAGGATTTTCAGGAAACAACACACCCAACGTGGCCACAGTCATCCAAAGATGTCTGACCACAGGCACACTTCCCTGACTTTGAGATGACCAATCACATCGACGAAGAGGTGCTTTTATCCACAACTATGCTGCAACCATCACTAATAGAGCACAACCGCTTGTCTGCACCTACGATCACCTTTTTGTATTAATTGGCCTTCTTACATCAGATCAACATCTGACAGTCAGAGGCTGACTAGACCTTCGTCCAAAACAACGGTTTCAATCACAGTGTATTCGTCGGCAGAACCCGCGGACCTAGGTGACCCAGCTCACCTCCACTGGTATCTTCATTGGTGGACAGTGAGATCGAATGTCTGTGACGCCGTCCTTCCACCTGATCTTTGATACATCTGGAGGACCAGACTGCCTCCGGACTGTGGTCAAATGATTAACTCTGATGAAACAAATACAATCTAGAATTAGAAGCACTCATCCTTGCCGTGTCACATTGGCAGTCCCAGCTTTAGAGCCAAGTGCTAGCCATATGCACAGACAACATCACAGTCGTCTGGTGTCAACCAGCCGAGGCCTCACTCATCATCCCTACTGTTCTCAGACCTTCCGGTTCTTTCAATAAGTGGAGCAAGTACACATGAGATTCATCATTCAGCACATCCTTGGTTGTCGCAACATCCTGGTAGATGAACTCTCCAGGCCAGACAAAGAGGCCCCAATGGAGTGGGTGCTCCACCCCGACACCTTCAGTGATTCAGCCTGCCAAATATCGACCTATTTGCCACCAGCCAGAATTAACAGCTCTGGACCTACATCTCACCGGTCCCGGAACCTGTTGCTTGGGTAGTCGACACATTCGCTTAAAGCGTACACTTTTCCCGCCATCTGTACAACTTAGGAGGGTTCTGCAAAAGATCAAAAACACACCGATTCTTTTACTGCTTTTGATCGAGCCTTGGTGGACGGTTCAGAATTGGTAAATGGATCTTTGTGACCTCACCAGTCGCGACCCTCTCGAACTCTCAGGGTTGGCACACCTTCTGGTACACCCCCCAGTCAGTTGCCACACCCACCTCCAGACAAGTTTCGTCTGCATGCTTGGCACATCTCCACGTGGCCTAAAGTGCTTAAGGTCATTTGGCTAGAGCAGGGAAGGCTGTTGCCTCAGCACACTGACCATTGACACGCTCTCTGTATGATGACAAATGGTGTTCCTTTGAATCCTTTTGTAAGGATAAGAAACAGGATCCTATTTTGGCATCATCACAATTTATGGCTGAATTCCTTCTCGACCCCTACAACAAGCGCCACATCAAGGGTAGTACCATAACTACATATCTGGCAGCCATCAAATCGGGGTTGGCAGTTCCTAAGGATCACAAAATCACTAAGATCACGGAACTTTAATCTTTTCGACAGTCCTTTTGTCTGGAGGATCAACGTGCCACGTTTTGTCCCCAGGTTGGGAATTGAACGTAGGACCGCTCCTTTAGAGCCACTTCACTCGGCGTTCTCTTCAATCTTACCAAAAACAGATGTCTCCTAAGTATGGTTCGAGCATAGAGAACAAGGTGCTGTGCATCTGGGGCTGTGCTTGGATTTCTCCCAGGACAGACGGACAGATCATTCACTGTTCCTCTTTTATCATCAATAGTGGGTTCCGAAGACAAGGATGAACTACTCCTGTTCTCAGTTTGAGCCTTAAGGGTTTTCCTCTGTCGTCTCAAGTCACAATGTGGATCTCGGAAACGACTATTTATTCCAGTCTTGTCTACATCCAAGATGGCAGCTGGCCATAACACTATCTCACTTTAGCTGCATTTTATTTCAATGCAGGCGTATGAATTGGCAGGAATGGACCCGCCAGAGACAACAACCGCCATGAGATTTGATCTGTCACCTTGACCATGGCTCTCAACAGCAATTGCTCCATCCGATCCGTCATGGAGGATTGTTTTTGGCGCCCGGATACTGTCTTTGCCAGTCATTATCCCAAAAACGTGTCTCTTGAGGATGAACAAGGTGTTCAGATTCGGTCCGCTGGTGGTAGCACAACAGGTCAATATCCCCTGACGATCTTGATTCCTATACCTCGGAACTGACCCTATGATCTCACTGCTAGTAATTATTCCAAGATTAGTGGGTTTCCGTTTTTTCCCGCTCAGGAAGCTATCCTATTACCCAGGTTAGTTGGAGGGCCTTACCTTAATTCTATCTGAAAGGCATGCCCTCTTCCGTTTCATCTGACAAAGATGCTGGGATGTAGTAATGCAAGATAAGATAAAGCAATAAGTAAAATGTAAATGCCTGAAGTGCCCACCCATTGATTTTCTACCTCCCCTCGAAGTTCTTTCTGATGGGCGTTTACTAGCAGGTATGTGACTGTACTTGACCTCGCCACCCCCGGTTAGTGGTAGCTGTGGGAGGAGGGAGGAAGCCACATAATACATGTATAGTGGGTACAACAACTTCTGTAGCCAGACCTCTCACAGCTCCGTCTCCTAGGTTAGACCAATAGGAGAAGCATTCAGGTAAACTACTGTGCAAAAGAAACTTATCACCTTATTCAGTAGCTCTATAAAAAGAAACAAAGACAACTGTTAACTGTATGATTCATTTTTCAAGGTTGGTACAAAATTGCAATGGCATATCGATAGTGTACTTGCCATAAGGCCGAGCGAAAGAGACATGGAGTCAAAATAAAAACATTACATTTACAAAAGGTGCTCATAAAGTCAAATCATGTGACAAAGTGAGGTGAGGGGAAATGGGGTTTAACGTCGCGTCAAAAATTATTGCACTTATACAGCAACATGCATGCACATGCACATAAGCCCCTTTTTGCCGAGCGCCAGACAGGGTAACACCAAGTGCCATCTTTTAACGTCTTTTGGTATGATGCGGCCAGATCGAACAACGGACCTTCCGCACTCCAGGCGGAAGCTCTATCACTAGATCACGGAGTCCTTAGTGTGACCACCCCCCTGCATCATTGCATGCCACAAATACGTCTCCTCGTGGGTGTCGCCAGTCTCCGGAATTCTGCGCCACTCATTCAATAAAACCTGTTCAAGCTGCTGTCTGTTTGGTAGGGGAGGTACGCATTGTCTCAGCTGTCGATCAAGATGATCCCAGAGAAGCTATATAGGATTCATGTCTGGAGAACATGCTGGCCAACATAATATGTTGACGTTAACGTTGTGCATATATTGCTGAATAAGTCTGGCGGTACGAGGTCGTGCAGTATCCTGCTGCAAAAGGGTACCCCTTGTCTGTCCACGTAAGAATGGCATTACTACAGGTCGCAACACTTCATCTCTTTGGCCCGTCAGATTCCCACAGATAAGACATGCCTTGTTGTCCACTCACCTCAAATACCGCCCCATACCATGATACCGCCTCCACCATAAAGGTGGACAGCTTGGATGCAGTTAGGTGCAAGTCACTCTCCCCAAGGTTAATAAACACAGACTCGGCCATCATTTTCAGAACAAGTTAAAGCGACTTTGATCTGCTAACAGCCCCCTTTCTTAATCACGCCGCTGCCATTGACGTAAGGTTCGTGCCCATTGTAAACTGCATTGATGGTGTAGAGGGGTCAAGGCCATTCCACTGAAGGGCGGTAGTGAGTGAGTGAGTATTGTTTTACGCCGCTTTTAGCAATATTCCAGCAATATCACGGCGGGGGACACCAGAAATGGGCTTCACACATTGTACCCATGTCAGGAATCGAACCCGGGTCTTCGGCGTGACGAGCGAACGCGTTAACCACTAGGCTACCCGACCGCCCCCGAAGGGCGGTAGGCTCTGATACCAGCAATGTGGAGTCGTCATAAGATTCGTCTCCTGATGGGGTGTCCCAGTGCTGTTGCCGCCGTCACGTATCGGTTGCTGATAATGGGTCAACAAGTTGCTGATACATCCTTATTTTGAGTATACTGGACCAAAAGGAAGGTTAAGTTGTCCGGTATTCGATGTTTCAACAATGCATGTAGTAAATCGTTTAAGGTCAAATTGTTTGATAGGCATTACTTAGAAGTTGACGGATTTCAAGGTAGACACAATTTTATGTATAATAACTTCTTTAATATTGTAAAAAGCAACGTTTCGGTGTAGATCCTTATACCGTTGTCAAGCAAGACTGAATGAGGGACATAGTACAGAATATATATAGTAGGAGGAGGATTAACAGTAACAACCATTGCATACATCAGTGTGATAACATAGGTAGGTGTTGACAACAAAGGGATAATACTGTAACATCACGATGGACAGAGAACACACAGGTTGAAGCCAATGGGACTTGAAGCCAATTAATGATGGCTTGTGGCGGTGAAAGTGGACTGCTTCTGTTAGTTTTCTTTTAGTGAAATCATGGAGGTTGTTGGAGAGGATTTGGACGTTGTCCAAGTTGATGGAATGATTGGGGCAGTTGCTGATAAGGTCCGACATGGATGATTTACTGTTGGATTTAATGGTGGATGGGTTGTGCTCTTTCATTCTGGTGTTGATTGGGCGGGATGTTTCACCTATGTAAGATTTCCACAGTTGCAGGTCTGGGTATTGGATGGTGTACAGTGTAGATGTTATATTTATATATATATCAATTAATCCTTGAACATACAATTTCTATAGTTCATTGCAAGAAACACTTAATGATGTCACACGATATTTTCATAAGACATTAGTGGAATAAACTTTAAAATATTTGAGTGGTTCGGCCATATATATTCAATACGCAAAACATCATATACTGGTGCTCATCTTCTGCTTCCTGTTACTGCATAGTTTACAAACTGCATTCTTTAAATATGTGTGTGCATCTTCTCTGTTCAATGTTAATGTATGCGATTGGCATCTTATTCTAGAAATTGTTCTTAACGTTTACAAGGTTTTAAAAGATGTTCTTAAACTTTTAATTGAATTTCAAACATTACGTAATGTTTAAAAGTTTATGATAATAATAGTGCCATTCCTTTAGTCTTTGAGTGACTTATAAATCAAATGTTCAGGAAGTTCTGCTTTCTGACACACATAGACAAAACCAAGTTCGTTAATACAGTCCCGTGAAAATCCGGGGTCTTAAGTAGTATAAAGTTATATAAACGTTCCACTCTGTTTATTTGTGGCAAATACAAACACGACTTTGCTGCCACATGCTTTCCGTGTCTTGTGTCAATACTGAACGGCCTCCCCGAGGCTACAAGGTACAATCCCTTACATTTATTGTTGAGATTTGCATTTTTGAATAAGAAAATATAAAACGTAGGCAGTTAAATTCCATCAAATTAATCATCCATTGCGTCAACGGAGACAACTTACGTATCGCTGAATATGGTTTATTTATCTGTATAGGGCATCTAAATGAATATGTGTCCACGTGCAATTAGGATCGAAGTCCATTTGATACCAGCTATATGTAGCTATATAAATTTCTAGCAAGGTTTAACACCTACCTCCAGTCGTAACGCTTCAGGATGTTGGGTGGGACTGCGGACAACGGAACAAGGTGTGATGAGGACAAATTACCGAATCCCCATCAGGTACGGAAGGTTCGGCAATTTGATTGGTTAAGGAGCGTGACGTCAAAGTAATCAACTCCGTTATCTCAATGCGTGGTGCAATATCGGGGAATCTCCGCTATTCTTAGCTAGACATGTTTAAACAAGTTTACTCAAGTGCTTGGCTTTTTGTTTTGATTGTTTGTTTGTTGTTTAAAGCCGCACTCAGCAATATTCCACCTATATGACGGCGGTCTGTAAATAATCGTGTATGGGCCAGACAATCCAGTGATTGACATCATGAGCATCGATCAACGCAATTGGGATCGATGACATGTATCAACCAAATCAGCGAGCCTGACCACCCGATCCCGTTAAAGCGGTATATACTTGTAGGACAGGTTTATTGTATTGGGGAGTTTCATTTTGAGCAGGGATCCAAACTATTTCTAAGCCTTTACCTAGTTTACGTAGATTGTTGGCGCTTATAATTATCTGTTGTATTAGTTTTGGGCGCTTTTTGTGTTTTTGTTTTTTATGGTCTGGAGCCCACTTAATGAGTCTGAAAGGATTAGGGGTTTTGGGTGTCTATTTATTTGAGCGCTGTACAGGGATGTTACTATCCCCATTAATTCGGCTGTGAAAATTGCTTGATTATTTGGGAGCCTATATTTTGTATCTTTTTAGGGGTTTGTTGATATGGATACCGAATCCTGTGCGTTTTGAGCCCGGGTCAAAGGACCCGTCTGTGTAAATGTGGCACCAATTTGGCCATTTTTCGTGAATGTACACTAGTGTGGTGGATTTAGCGGTATTTGGATCAGTTTCTTTATTTAGCCTGGTGGAGAGAGATATGTCGATTTTTGGGGTTTGGGTATGAAGGTGTTATTTGGTGCTGTGTTTAATTTTAATAATTTAGGTTGTGTGTATTTAGGTAATTTATTATGCGTTGAGAGATTGGTATAAATTGAGGGTTTTTGCGAGCTAGAGTTTGGAGTCTGAGGCTTATGTTGGTTTTAAGGATTTGTTGGTTTTGTTGGGTTGAAGCCCAGTAATTTGTTGTTAGATGTTCTCGGCGTAGATCCAGGGGCATTTCGCCCCTTAGTGTCTGTAGTGATATGCGCGGCGTGCCATGCTGAGTGCGTGTAATTATCTTGAGTGTTTGATATTGAATTGAGTTTAGTTTATCGCTTAATGAGGAGTTTAAGGTGTTGTATATTTAGCATCCATAGTCTATTTTAGATCTAATTAGTGATTTGTAAAGTGATAGTAGGGTCTCCTTGGAGGCCCCCCAGTTGGAACCTGTCAGGCAGCGTAGTGTGTTTAGGTCTTTAATGCATGTATTTGTTAGGTAGTTAATGTGAGCACCCCAGGTGAGGTGTTCATCAAATATTAGGCCAAGCAATTTGGTTTCTTTTTTTAATTGTATGTTTTTTTGGGGGGGGGTTTAATTGTAGTTTGGGGGTGTTTACAGGCATATTTCTGTGTTTGAAAAATACTATCCCTGTAGTTTTTTCGGAATTTATTGAGAAACCACATTTATTTACCCATATTTGGATTGTATTCAATGCATTCTGCAGTAATTTGCAGCCATATTTAATCTTTGAATTTTATTGGGTTTTCCCTCGTTTAGGTCATTAATCATAATGTTGAAGAGTGTTGGGCTTCGAATGCTACCTTGGAGTGTGCCATTTTCTGAGGGACACTGGTCCGATAGCGTTTGGTCGACACCCACGGTTATTTTGCGATTAGTTAGGAAGTCTTGGATATAGTTTATTATTTGGCCTTTAAGTTCTGCTTTGTTTAGTTTTTGTATGAGCCCGTTATGCCATACCATATCGAAAGCTTTAGAGAAGTCCAGAAATATGCCTACTGTGTATTGTCGGTTTAGTTGGCACGTTTTGATGTCTTGTTCTAATCGGGCGAGGTTGTCTAAGGTTGATCGGCCTGGGGTGAATCCACTTTAATCTTGGTTTATTATATTGTTTTGGTCTAGGTAGTGTTGGAGTCTATTTTTGACCATCGCCTCCATGATTTTACATAAGTTTGGGGTTCGGGAGATTGGTCTCCCATGAAGTAGGAACCTGGCTGTTTTGGAAGATGAGATTCTATAGTTTAAGTAGTGATTCCAGAAGATTTTTGGGTAGCTGTTTAATTATTTGTTTCTATTATTTAGTACATGGAGTAGTTCCTCTAGTGTGTATTGTTGGTCAATTTCTAGGTTATCATCTTTGGGTAATTTGAAGAATTTATTTTTATTTTTTAATTGTTTTTGGAATTCCTCAGGAAAGTTACTATGACTACTGATGGCTGAGAAGTGAGTTGAGTTATTAATGTTCGGTGTTTTTGGGGTTCGTTTAATGCCTCGGATTGCGTGTATTTTGCGCCATGCTATTCTTGCGTCTATGTAATGGTTTATTTCTTCGCAGAATGTTTTCCAGTTTTTGGCCTTTGCCGTTTCGTCTAGGCTTTGCACTTCATGGTTTAATTGATGGTTTAATTGTGATTAACTGGGTGAGAGTGATTTTAAGAGTATGTGTGTAAGGATGAAAGGATAACGTGGTAATTACCGATGGTGAAGTTCTCCTTGGCTGCTTAACAGGCGATGCTCTGTGCTGGCTTGGGAGGTGTTGCTCGCTTGGAGTAGAAACTGCAACTGAACGCACCACTTGATCTATATGTTGACACAGCTGATACAAACCAGTCGAGACAAGTTACACAGTACAGAGTCCGCTTGGATAAACAAGCTTTGTTATGGCTTAATCCCGCCGACCTCGATAGATAGGCTTTTTATGCAGGGTCGGTAATTTGTACTCATCAAAGGTGGCATACAATCTGATCACAAGCCTGCATGGCAGACTGTGTTTATAATCGATAATTTATAATTCTGCCGTAATTTGTAGCCATATTTATGCTTTGAATTTTATTGGGTATTCCCTCGTTTAGGTCATTAATCATAATGATGAATTCGAAGAGTGTTGGGCTTCGAATGCTACCTTGGAGTATGCCATTTTCTGAGGGACACTGGTCCGATAGCGTTTGGTCGACACCCACGGTTATTTTGCGATTAGTTAGGAAGTCTTGGATATAGTTTATTATTTGGCCTTTAAGTTCTGCTTTGTTTAGTTTTTGTATTCGCCCGTCGGTTTAGTTGGCACGTTTTGATGTCTTGTTCTAATCGGGCGAGGGGCCTGTCCTCATTTCGCCTACACCCTTATCAAAACAAATTTACAGCTGACTGCACATAAGTCAAGTGCTGTGTTACCTCTAAAATAATGAACTGACCCAAAAGAAGGTTAAACAGACAAGACAATCTTGAAGCTTCATACATTGTTTAATAGCTGATATTTACATTATGCAGTAATAATAATAATGACTCATGGTTACTGTAGCTTTAGTACATATCCAACGGCATCAAGAAATTGCATTACAGTTTTTCTTCCACTAAGAAGCTGTGTCTTTAGTCTTTCAATTATTTCGTCCCTTTGTCTGTCAACACGAGCTCGGGGTCTGCATGATCCTCCAAGATCAATTTGTTTCCTGGAGCGTCTGTCTGCCTTTCAATCTTCTTGATCTCCTTCAAGAACTGATAGATGTTAGGGTGAGATCGGGGCATTCTCTTTTTCAGTCCACAGTGGAACCCTTCCAGATGGTTGTTGGATCGGGGACCGGTGTTGTCGTGCTGGTTCCAAATATGGCAGGGGAATCTAGCGTCGTCATCTACCCATGTGCTGGTGATAGTCGTTAAAATCACCAATCTGTTGATCATCAGGTCCTTTCTCCATCACTTCAACCCATGCATTCTGCATGGGAGGAGTGGCAGAGCTGCGCCACGTCGAACATGGGAATGAATTTGCTGGATTGTTCGTGTATTCTCGTACAAGACCTCTCTCAACTACCTGACGCCACAAAGCTTGTGAATAGTGAAACAGACAAGCCCTCACATAACTATAAGGAAAAACCTCTGCAATGGCACTTATGACTGCTGACTCGTAATCAGTCTGAAACACCTCTGGAGAAAGTTCAGTACCAGTTCTGTTTCCTACTGTGTCCTTCAACAACCTAAATAGTCTAACATATGTCTGTTTGGTCTTGTTAGGAAGCAACGAAAAAGCAACAGGATACAATTTACCATTTACAAGACAATGAATAATATACACTTGGAGCCACAAGCTAGGACAAACAAAAAAAGTACCATCCATAAACAAACTGTCAGAGTCACTCATGATTTCTAACATCTCAGTGGTAGGAAACACCAGTAGTCTGTCGTCTTCCCCGTCATTGATGCACAGAAAGTCTCTTCCATCTTCTGTCTGTGTCCACGTTCCTTCCAAGTTGACTGCTGCTCTGGTTTCTGGAACTTGTGGAATAGTCTTGGCTCTGTTTCTGTACAGAGAAGCTTGAACACTTGCAAAAGATTAGAGCTTGGATTAGTTAACAGCCTGAGATGGACAATGCCAATTCATATAATAGGGGTGAGGCAATTAAGCATTTGAATTATTGTAGGCGAAATGAGGTGTAGGCGAAATGAGGGCAAGCCGGGCGAGGTTGTCTGAGGTTGATCGGCCTGAGGTGAATCCACTTTGATCTTGGTTTATTATATTGTTTTGGTCTAGGTAGTGTTGGAGTTATTTTTGACCATCGCCTCCATGATTTTACATAAGTTTGGGGTTCGGGAGATTGGTCTTCCATGAAGTAGGAACCTGACTGTTTTGGTAGATGAGATTCTATAGTTTAAGTAGTGATTCCAGAAGATTTTTGGGTAGCTGTTTAATTATTTGTTTCTATTATTTAGAAAATGGAGTAGTTCCTCTAGTGAGTATTGTTGGTTAATTTCTAGGTTATCATCTTTGGGTAATTTGAAGAATTTATTTTTATTTTTAATTGTTTTTGGAATTCCTCAGGAAAGTGACTATGACTACTGATGGCTGAGAAGTGAGTTGAGTTATTTATGTTCGGTGTTTTTTGGGTTCGTTTAATGCCTCGGATTGCGTGTATTTTGCGCTGTGCTGTTCTTGCGTCTGTGTAATGGTTTATTTCTTCGCAGAATTTT